GATATAACGTAAGTCTAAATGTCCTAACTTGGAGTGGGAAATGGTTGGACACAATTTTTTTGCTGCTTTAAGAGTATTACCCCTGGGAGGATGATGGCACTAAAGTAGTTAAGTCGTTGTGTGTCTCAAATTAAATTTACTACTAGGAGCTAATATTGTAGTATAGCGTAGTAGAGTTCTTATCCATAGGGAAAAGAGCTTTTCACGCATGTGTAAGCGTAATAAATAAAAGTAAACGAAAGGGGGAGATTGGATATTTTGATAATTCAGAAAGCAAGTTAAAATACTAAAATGAGTGAAATAAAATATCAAAGGTAATCAACCTTGGTTTTGCTAATCTCCACTTAGTGAAGTGTTCCTTGATCATTGTTACTACTTTAATTATCCCCCTTGAATACTTAATTGTGGAGAAATTCCAATTCATCTAGCATAGCTATTATTCTATTAATACTTAATAGCTATTAATAACTATTAATTAATCAATATAAAACAAACGTCATATGTTGATCTTAATAGTAGCATTTGGTTGATTTAATGAAATAAATTAAGCACGATAACTTGTAACCCGCGGTGAATATTCTCGATTGTCACAACGAGAATCTCAGGTTCAGCTATTCTATCTAATTTATTCATTTTATTCTGATGAAATCAATTAAAATTTACAAACTCAACACAAGCGGTTTATATGTTTAGTCAATATAATTACTCCTTCTTACGTTATTAACCATGAGACGCATACATTAACAATATAACTTTACTACCTATGAAAGGACTAAATAAATAACAAGCGTATTTGTTGACTGATTCTAGTAATAATTAATATGAAAACATCAACTAATTGATCACTTTGATGCTCAAATATAAATATGAATATGGAAGTAATTAATATTTAAGAGGGAAGAATTAAAGAAATACTTCCTCCGTTCTTAAATAATTGCAACACTTTCCTCTTTTGGCAGTTTCAAAATAATTGCAACATTACTAAATTTAGTAACAATAGACAAGTGAAATACGGAGTATCTTTTATACCCTCTTAACTTATTTAACCCCAAATAATACTCCCACTTGCTCCGTCCCAATTCCCCAGCCTGCGTTTCCACCTCTTGCCCACCCTTTCATCTCTGTCCTACTTTCCCTTCTCAGGGGGTGTTTGGATCTGATTCTCAAAACTGATTCTGCTCCTTCAGGGAGCAGAAGCAGAAGCTGGAGTGTTTGGGTGAAATTCCAGAAGCACTTCTGGAGCTCTAATTTACTCTCAGAATCAGTTTTTTTAGAAGCTGGGGGGTACCAGCTTCTGAAAACTGATTCTGATTCTGCTTCTGCTTTTAAAAAAGAAGCAGAAGCAGAATCAGTTCCAAACACCCCCTCAATCTCCATTCTTTTTTTCCTCAATCTTCATTCCATAAGGTGAGTCTCTTTTTTCCCTTCTCAAACTCCACCATCTCTGTTTTTTCTTCTTTCACTTCTTTTTCACTTCTTTTCTCTACCCATTTTATTGGTCACTTTTTGTTTCTTTATATCGGAGCTCAACCAACAAACCCGAATGGAAATTACATTTTTTGCTTGGTCTGTTGCTCCTTGTAATATCTGACCAGTTAACAAAATTTAAAACATTTGTTTTTGGAGGAGCTCCCACCTTTGATAGATCGAGACACGAAGAATAATTAAATCACTAACAAGGTTATAGGAGAATTTAGACTCGAAGAGAAAATAAATCGAGACCGAGATATAAAGATTTATAGCTCCTGAAATCACCAAAGGTGTAGTGCGAATTTAGGAAGAAGATGAAGGAAAATATAAGAACCTGAAACTACTCCGTATAATATAGGAATCCATGGCAAAGTTGAAACAGGAAGAGGATGAGTTTGATTGTCAGAAAGTTTGTGTGGTGCACGTGGTTGAGAGCCTTAAACATGACAGGAGGGTCAAAATAGGAAGAAAAACACTTTATCTAAATTTCTTAAGAGAGAAATATTCAGGTCAGGTATACCTGACCACTGCCCCCGTCCGGCCTCCTCCATTTTGGGGTCTTCCCGATGGTATTTTTTGCTCAAATTTTTTGTGTAGGTTCCTCATTAAGTCTAGTTCATCCATACCAAATTTCAGCCAAAAATTCAATCGGGAAGGTCGTCAAATGATTTTTGCAAGTTAACTGGTCCGGAATATGTATTTTCCGGACCAGTTAACTTGCAAAAATCATTTGACGACCTTCCCGATTGAATTTTTGGCTGAAATTTGGTATGGATGAACTAGACTTGATGAGGAACATACACAAAAAATTTGAGCAAAAAATACCACCGGGAAGGCCCCCAAAAGGAGGAGGCCGGACGGCGGCTCCGGTCAGGTATACCTGACCGGAAGATTACTCTTTCTTAAGATTCGTGCCCATTGCAATGTTGCAATTAATTCCGAACGGAGGAAGTAACTCACAGCTTACAAATCACAAGTTTCAATATAGCAAAACCAAACTCAAAAGACTACCTAAAATACAAGAATAATATCTATATGAAAGAGGGGATTAATTGGTATCTCATATGGGAATGAAAGGGGTGTTTTATTTGAGAAATGAGGTGGCTGGGTCTGATACCTGAGTAGGTATTTAGGATATCTGACCGGGTATCCTTGGCAGTAGCTACGAATGTGCAGAAATCTAGTCATACCTGACCAGGTATGTCAAAATACCCGACCGGGTAAATGATAAAATCTGATTTTTCCATGTTCTCTTGCTTTATTTGATCTCATATGATTTCCAGGTCAAATCATACCCAATCGAGTATTGCATATACGCGGCCTGGTGTGATACCAAATCAGATTTATTATATTTCTTTGTCTCTCATGAAGCTTCCTTTTGTCTCCATTGCTCATTCCTTACGCTCCCAAGCTCTTTCCTCTTCTTTTCATCATGTTTTTGCTTACATGTAAAAATATCTTAAAATCTTCTAATTCTAGTTTAATTTTAGAAGATAAAGATTACACTAATTGTACAAAAGCTAAGTAAACACAATGTAAAATCATTCTAAAATGTGGAGTTTATGCACTATCAAGTAATACACATTAGAGGATATGACATGGTGATGGAGGTAGACTTGATGAGAAAGCTGGGACTAATCTTTCTTGACTATGACAATCACTCTATTACCTTTGATCATAAAGGAGAAAAGTGGTAGTACCGGGAATGCAATCAGAAATTTCAATAAACATGATATCATGAAAGAAAATGAAAGGATTATGGACCAGAGATTTACACATGGTTACTTTAATGTAAGAAGCTACAAGGGAAAGTAAAGACGCAACTACTTGATGAGTTTCAAGTGGTCTTTCAGTAACCCAAGGAGCTACCTCCTTTGAGAAATGTGAACATCAAATTGACATCAAATAAAGAGATAAACCTTTATAAAAAATCCTTATTTACAAGGACAAGAGATAGAGAGGCTTGTTAAGGAGACGGTCAATTTCGGAGTCATTCAATACATCCACAACGCTTATTCAATTCATGTACTACTAGTCTTAAAGAAAGATGTAACTTGGAGGTTTTTTGTTGACTACGGGAATTCAGTAACCATAAAAAATAAATATTTTTTTCCCTTGATAGATGATTTGTTTATGAATTACATGGAGCAACAATCTATTCCAAGATAGTTTTATGGGCAGCCATCAAGTCAGGATGAAGCAGAGAGACATCGAGCAACTTTTATAATTGTTAATGGACTATATGAATTCACAGTTATGTCATTTGGGTTAACAAATGCTCAAGCTACTTTTTAAGCTCTCATAAATAATTTTTTTTAAAGAATGTTTGAAGCAATTTGTATTAATCTTCTTTGATGATATATTGATCTATAGTCCATATAAGGAGACTCATAGGAAGCATATGAGGAAAGTCCTCTATTTACTACATCAACATACATTTTTTGTTAAAAGATCTAAATGCACATTTGGAGTTTCACAAGTGGAATACATTTGATTGGCACATGCCTTACAGATGATGCTCCTTCATTCAGCTCACTTATGACTGCTCTCTCACAAACTATTGAACCGGTTTCTCCTAACATGCCAAACATTGTCGCTAACAAGCTTCAATCTGTTGAAAATTATTTTAATGGAGGTTCACGAACTGAAAAAAATTCATTCTATTTGGGAAAGACTTCAATCCCAAGTCATGCAAGCTTGCTTGGCTACATCTATGGAACTCAAACGTCTACTCCCTCACCTTAAAAATAAAGATCAACAATCTATGGATGATAATTTACATCACATAAAAACTACTACGTACTATTAATGCTTTGACATCGGTTAATTTTCTCGTCTACTCAAAAGACCTTATTAAATACACGGATTTAGGGTTAGAACCAGAGTAAGAATCATTTGTGACCACCATTTGCTTAATTCCTGGTGGTTCAACTTTTGAAGACTTGCGCATGAAACTTGATGACGGAAGAAGAAACCATGTATGTCCAAGTCCGCCTACGACAGTCGCTCTTCGTGACAAACAATAGCGGAGAGAAAAACACTAGCAATGAAAACCCACCCTCATGAAAGAATCGAAAAACTATTCGGATCCGTAACGACATAAATTAAATTTATACATGAAACTATATTAAAAAGTTCTATAAATTCATACAAAAATTCAAGTTTAATAGAAGTTAGATACAAGTATAAAAAGTAAAAAAAAAACAGTTTTTGTTCGAAAATGACACACGCTTTTGGTACATCCTTGCCAATTAATTAGCTTAAATATACTATCCACCTAATCATTAGTTAGGTCCTTAGTCTCATCTTAACTGCTAGTTATATTTATGTTGGGAAGTTCATAGAAGAAATGATAGTGTACAAAGAAAAGTACACTTCCTAACTTGCTCTGTAAATAAGCCTTACCAATTGGTAATATGATGTACATAATAATTAATACAGTATGTATATTTCTTTAAAGTGCAATACTTATATTTATTTTAATACATATGAAACTCATTTTAATAAATCCTAATTGACAAATTTAGAAGAAACCTGATCCATATCATTAATATTTTTAAATTCCATTGAATTTGCAAAGAATGGGTCACTTTTGATTTTCGTTTACTCGTAAATCAAGACTGAAATTTTAAAGCAAAAAAGAATTGATTTTTGAATTTTTTTCGATAAACACAAATAATTTAACTTTTCCAAGCGTACACCAGTAAAGAGAATCCAGTGGGGCCCTTCAGCTCGTTCTCTTCCGTGCTGGCCCACTCTATCACCGAACTACAGCTGGACGACGCCGACGACAGCGAAGTCGACGACGAACTTCTCGCCGTCCTCAACAACCCCTTCTTCATCATCTTCGTCTCGAACCCGAATCCGCAGCTTTTCACCGCTTTCCCGGCGCGTGAATGATCGCCGCCGTCGTCTTCGTTCTCGAATTTGAACATGAACAGAGCGTAGCCGTCGTCGTCGTCCTCGAACAACCAGTTGTGGACGTCCCAGGAGATGTGGATCGGGAATCCGTCGATGACGATTCTCTCGTTCCCCCTGAATTTCCACTTTAAATGCTTGATTTGAAGGACCCTTTTGTTTTCCACGTAGAAATACAGTCTCGGGTCGTCGCCGGAGATCCGGCACTCGATGCAAATGTTACGGTGTTTCCCGCCGATGGTGGCCTCCGTGACGTACAGTTTGCTGCCGTAGACGTGTTCTCTCTTCAGAACCATGGTTTGACCCGGGCCGGCCCCTTCACCGGGGATTCGGGCCCGGGTTTTTGAATACGCTTCTTTGTGTGAATCTCCGACGAGGAGGACGATTTCGCCGTCGATGACGACGGCGATGAAGAATCCGGATCTGGGCTCAGGCCCGGATCCGAACTTGGCTCTCGAAAGATCCCAGAATATGTGCCCGTTCCTGATTTTTCCGCCGCAGCTGATTTGAACCCGTTTAGATCCCTGCTTTTTCCAGAAGACGAAGGGCTTGATGTGAAGGTGGAAGGACGGAGTGGCGGAGAGAGAAGCAACCGCCGGCGTACTGACCCCGTCATCTTCCTCCGCGGCGTCGTCGAGAGAGAAATGGAGGTGGAAGGACCGACCCAGCATGCTGCGGGACCATGTGACGGCAATGATGCCCAAATCAGTGTGGTAAAGGGAGGTAGCAAGCGTGGGAGCTGCCGGAATCGGCGGCGCCACCTTCGATGACCGACTCCCCCCGCCGCCGGAGGCGGCGGAGTTACTCGGCCGGAAACAGGAAGGGGAAGGAAAATGGGAAGAATGGTGCTGTTTGGCTATCATCCTAATACCCAAAACTATAAAAGAGCAGAAGGTGATTTAATTTAACAGAAAGAAAAGGAGAGATTTAAGAATAGTCAGAAGAAGTGGTCAGAAAGAAGGGTTTATATGGGATGAAGAAGATGACCAGAGAAAACTCTGTGTTCCATAATTACAGAAAAGACTTTGGAAACCCAATTATGACTTCACTTTTACCAAATATAATAGAGTTCGGGTATATGGGTTGGATGGATGCCCAGTTTAGCTGTCGATTTAAAGCCAAATTGTGGACCAGAATCATCCGATTAAAATCCAAAGGTCTGAAATGTTCTGCCCACGACATGTGGGTTCAAAGACAGAGGATCCCCATTACACCTGGATGAGGTTTACAAAAATGCTTCTTGTACACACATTTGTACACACCATGTACACACTATAAAAGGATTTTAATTTTTTACCCCGATTCCACATCTTTACCCATTTTCTTCCCACTCCCTTCTCTCACATCCCTCTATTACGCCACACCCCTCTCCTTCTCCATCTCAACCCTTATCCTCTGTTTCTTCTTTTTCATCCCTTTTCATTTCACTTCTTTACTCCCTTTCCAAATTCCAGAAATAAACTTTTAGGTGGTCACCTGTCTTCAAGTCCAAGCTCATCAACGGTGTTTTTGCAGCTGGAATCCGTGAAGAAGGCTTGGATGAGAGGTCGATTTGAGCCGGTCGAACAAGAAGCCCTTGTCAACTAGTCCATAAATTGAGGTAATAACTTATTCGATTTTTCTTTTGCAAAAAATAAAAAACCTATTCGATTTTTCTATTTGCACCTTAGGTTTTTGTTTTTCAATGGACTTTAGGGTTTTGTTTATTTAAAATTTCTGATTATTTGTGTATAATGTATGGTATAACACTGATTAGTTGAATATTTGGTATTATTGTAAGAGAATGTAGTGTTAACTATTGAAATTTTAATTCAATTACTCTATTTCAAATTTATGCTCATAACATGTTTGATGAAATCACTCAATGATTTTTTTTTGTTTAAAGTCAAGACTTTTACTCTCCTTTTTTTTGACTCATTCTTTTTTGTTAATTGGTTCAAGATTCTAGTTTTCTTGTTTTTTAATTTGAATAATGATGTAGATATTTTCATTGACATATTAATACGTTTATTATGCTTTTACTAGTATATTAGTGCAATGTTAGCCTATAAACTTTATTGTACATGGATCAATCCATGTAAGTATGTTAAGGAGGGTGTCTTCAAAGTGGATTTTAATGGAGTTTTAAAGATTGTGGATTTGGTGGAATTTAATGGAGTGCTACGGATTCTATGAGAATTTTATTGGATTTCACTTTGATGGAATTATTTAGATTTTAATGGATTTTAGCACTTGGAGAGTTGTATTTTTTGACATAGCAGGTTACCTCTGCGTTTCATCTCATCTATATCTGCGTTTCATCTTATGAAGTTAATGGAATTGAATAACCAGTAAGGGCATGGAAGAAGAACACGTTGGAATGAGTTTGAGCTTGGGTGGAGGGAAAAAATGGGGGAGGAAAAGGGGGGAGAATATGGCGTAGAAGAGCTGGATGGGGGAGAGGAGAGATGGGGCGTACAACAAAGCTGGGGGAGAGAGGAGAAATGGGGGAAGGGGTAAATGAGAATGAAAGGGGGTAATTATTTTTGGGAGTATATATAGTGGGTATATGGTGGGTTTTAAAATGGGTACAAAGAGCATTTCTCTGAGGTTTAATACAGCTCCGGGAAACGAATACATTAATGTTTTTAGAAAATGATAAAATTATCAACTTCTGTATAACGACTTATATTTAATGCACTTCATAGAAAATGCTAAAAATATTACTTGTACTAATGTATTGCGGAGTTTTCAAGCCCTACGCTACTTTAGTAGAAAAAACTTACTTGTTGGGGAGTTATTTGATACGGCTGTTTGCAGAAACAAAAGTAGAACAATTATAAAATAAAAAATTAAAAGGCATTGATTTTGTTAAGGTAATTTTTTTATTTAGTAACACTTGTTTGATGATATTTCTATTTGGCTGTGGAAAAGTTATAGTTATATTTTGTGAGCAGTGGCGGAGCGAGAGATTTTTCGAAGGGAGCGTACCGAAGGTAAGATTTATAGCGTATTTTCTCAAAAAAGTAGTTAATGAATAAGATGCTCAAAAAAATTTATCAAAAAATTTCACTGGGAACCGCCTCAAATGGCGATGGCCGGACAGAGCCTCCTATATAAGGACTTATTTGACCCCTTTTATGCAACTTCGAGGACCAATCTAACCCTTCACTCCGTCCAATAGCCAGGGACAAAACTTCTCTGATATACAATAGTATCACAAGGGAAACAGGAAGGGAAATCGTCCTAAACATGAGTAAAAATGATTAGAAATTCTAAAATAGGATTCATATTTTATTCCAAAATAATACTACCCCCTTCCCGTTGAAAGATTCCCATGGCAAAATGGTACATTTATCTTGACAATTATTAAATGGAAAAATTGAAATTAATAATCCCAACTATTGACGGTCCGCTGATAATAATCCCAACTATTGATTATTTTTGTATAATCCCAATTATATAGACAGTCCGCCAATAATGGTCCATGACCAAATATTACACCCTCAAAACTGAATTTTAAATAGAAATCAAGTTCAAAAATTAAAAGTTGGGATTACTTATAGGGATTACTTGTTATATCTCTCCTCATCCACTTTAGAAACTACAAGAATTTATTTAAAGGGACCATTATTGGCGGAAGGTCCCTAAAGGTGGGATTATTCTGAAATAATCGATAGTTGGGATTATTATAAGCGGACCAACCATAGTTGGGATTATTACTATCAATTTTTCCTTATTAAATAAGGTAGTTCAGATATGTTTTGAGAAATAATTTTAATAAGTATATAATATAATGCATTTTTTTTAATATTTAAAATGATTAATTTATCATTTAAGATTGTTAATTGTTTTCTAAAATGGAGATGAAAACTTTTATATGAGACGTCCAAAAAAGGATAGTGAGAACGTTTTTATGGGGCAAAGTAGTAATTATTGCAGTGTTTTGGTAATACAGAACTTTAAGCATATATGTATTTTTCAAACTTGGTAGTAGCTTTGGAATATAACTGTCTTATTTTAGAATTTTAAAACGTTTTTATTTCTATTTCGGGGATTTTCCCAAACAAAAACTATATAACTTTTCATTACAAAAATCCACCCGTAGCTAGCGTAACGGTGTTTTCTTACAAAAAAGAACTGAGAACTCAGACCGAATTGGCCCATTTCAAACAAGGCAAGTAAGGTGTGATTCATATTTCAAGTTTGATATACCTAGATCGAACCTATCCGGATAATGAACACTCCAGATATGTATACTCCAGTCGTTATAGTCTTATTCTCTGTAAAAGCCCGCACTAATCCTTGTTGTTTTGTCTTGTTTGGACTTTGGGGGATTCATCAATCTCATTTTTTTAATGTAAAAATCTATGGCCATATTTATTCTCATTTTCTTGCAATATAAATAATTTCCATATTTGCTCTTGCTCTCTATCTATGAACGTCTTCTTCGATACAAACCAATCACATGTTTCTTTGGGTTCTTTTTCAATTCTTGGTATATTTTCTTCACATGGATGAATTTAGGTGTAATAGTCAAACTAGCTAGTGATAGGATAGTAGGGGTTGTAGACTTGTAGAATTGTAGGTAGGTTGCAACAATGAAGTCAGTAAGAGCTATTGCACTTGAAGTCCCAAAATTCGGACAGAAAAGAGGTCTAATAGACGTCTTGATGAGAATGGCAATTGTTTTTTAGTTTCATGAATCATGATTAAGTCAGTTTTTTTAACTAAATGATTAAATCATACTTTTGTAAGTAAAATGACTTATGACTGAATCATCAAGACGTTATTCTCATTAAGCCCATTAAATCAAAAGTAAAAACTTTTCCTTGTTCTTTTTATTTGCAACTAAGCTTCATTAAGTATATACGAGTATATACTATGCATATACGGAGTATTTTTTTACATTAAAGAGGACATGATGTAGAAGCACAATAGACCTTTCCATTGGAGATGTTTTGCTAATGATTTAGGGGTTACTAAAGGGGTGGGATTGGGTCAATGGCATTGAGATGGATAGAGTGATGTGAGGATACTGAGATTGGGTCAATGATGTTTGATAGCAATGGAATGAATTGTTACTCTAAATTCTAAAGTTGAATCCTTCCACAGTTCCCCATTACAGTATGTTGAGTCTATGTCTAAGAAAATTAAGAGTTAGTTAAATATTGCCTTTTATTTTCAATTATTGATATTTCCATATTGGTATAGAAGAACTGTAAAAACTTCGTGAGGTTGTAAAAAATAGCAGCTAAAAAAACCTAATTTGAATGTTATAAAAAACTTGTACTTGTACTTTAAATCATATGGCTGTTGGTGTTACAAACTTACCACAACAGTTGGAAAATATGTTTTTTTTTAGATCGCTGAGCTTCCCTACCTTCCTCTTTATGGAGTTTGAACGCCAAACCAATAATTCTAGCTCAATCTTTAAATAACGTAAAACTGATTAAGTAAATCTTTTCTGTTGGTATTTAAGACGGATTGGCCCAATCAGATACTTTGACAATATCTAGATAGGCGAAGCTTCCTAGTCGGCCTTTGAAGTTATCAGCTGCTAACTTTCTAACTTTTTTACACTCTTCATCCCGCAAAATAGTTCCGGGTTTGACTTGTGTCAGAGTTTAAGAAAGTGGGAATAAAGTAGAAATGTATTATTATGGTCGAGTAAAAAAAGAATGATAGCCACACAATATTTCAAAAAAGGAAGAAGGAAGAATTTTTCAGGATGTCCCAAAAAGATAAGAGGAAGGAATTTTAGGGGACAAAAAAATACTATTAAAGCCTCTAGAAATTCTCATGTATGTTGACAACCAATTAAGAGCCCGTTTGGTAATACTCATTACTCAAATCGGCTGCATTGACTGATTCTATTGAAATTTATGAAGTTCTGGTTGAATTAGTTGGATTGGCTGATTATGTTGATTTATGAAAAAATTATATTTAAAATATATTTTATTAATAAAATTAAAAAATTATATGAAAAAACATTTAAAACGGTTTTCTATAGTAATATATGTCAAACAATACAGTAGAAAAGTAATTTCAATCTTACTTTTTTTCATTATCATACAATTCAGAGAGCGGGATCAA